CTGGAGTGGTGGGAAAGCTGGCTGGCATTTCTTAGCATGGGGAGAGCTTTTTCAGTTTATGCTTAAAGATGATTGGTGGTATTGCTTGCCTTCAAATATTTTAAAGTTCTTACTGATAACATTATGTTTTGGTCCATATGTTATTAAATCACTGTCCCTGTGTGTTAGGTTAGGGAAGGAAGGGGGAAATTTCTTAAATTCTTACTTGACTCCTTATTTAGTCATCTACTTTCTGCCCTTAAAACAACCCTGACACCACTAGCTCCTCTACCAACATGCTACCCCTCTCATTTTTTTATTACTAAAACCATCACACAATTTCTTGATTAGAAAGGCTCCTTTGGTGTTTCATAGCTTGTCTTATTTTAGGTTAGTATTATTCTAATATATTTATTTTCTTAAATTGTAATCTCCCAAATATTAATAGGACTAAAGTTATCACTGCTGTGTTCTCATTACAGATTTTTGGGTAAAAAGGAAAAATGAAAAAATCTTAATGAGCAGCTGAAAAATCTGTTACTATTTAGATCCTATAAGCTCCCTTTGGCTGATGATAATGTTGTTGTTTTTTTAATATTTCATACATATAAAAGAGTAAATATAAATAAATATGTTTGATTCATAAAATGAACATTCATGTATACAACACCCAGCCCCCAAAATAAAACCTTGCCAGTCAGCATCTTTGAAGTCCTCCTGATTATATCCCCTTCACTCCGTACCATTGCTTATAACCAGCATCTTAAGTTTTTTATTCTCTTAGTTTGCTTTATAGTTTTACCATATATGTACATATTTCTTTTTTTAATGCTTAACTTTGCAAGTTTTTTACTTTATATAAATAGAATTACATTGCATATATTTTCTATAGCATACTTTTTCCATTCAGTGTTTTGCTTGAAGTTTGCTCATTTTAATGCATGTATTATATATATGATTCACTCATTTTTATGGCAGTGTTTTTGAAATATAATTCACATATCATAAAATTCACTCTTTTTGTCTTAGTCCATTTGGGCTGCTATAACAAAATACCGTAGATTGAGTGTCTTATAAGCAACACAAATTTACTTCTCACAGTTCTGGAGGCTGAGAAGTTCAAGATCAAGGTGAAGTAGATTCAGTTCCCGGTGTGGGACTGCTTCCTGGTTCATAGATAGCTGTCTTTTTGCTGTAACCTCACATGGCAGAAGGGGCAAGGGAGCAATCTGGTCTCCTTTATAAGGGTACTAATCCCATTCATGAGGACACCAACCTTATGACCTAAGCATCTCCTAAAGGCTCCACCCCCAGATACCATCACATTGGGAATTGGGTTCAACATATGAATTGGTGGTGGGGGGAGGGGAGGACAGTCACTTAAACATTCAGTCTATAGCACTTGCAAAGTGTGCAATTCTGTATTTCTTAGTATATTCATGGAATTGCATTCATTTTTTACTGCTGTATGATAGCCCACTGAATGAAAATACTCTGATTTATATTATCCATTATCTTATCAGTGTGCATTTAGGTTGTTTTCAGTTTGGGGCTACTGTAAATAATGCTAATATCTTAAGTTTCCTGGTACACAGGTACAAGAAATCTGTATGATATAATTCTACAAGTAGTATTGTTAGGTATTTGTAGTTTCAACCTTTCTAAGGTATATAATGCCAAAATATTTTCCAGAGCAGTTGTATCTATTTATTTTTCTCATAATGTTTTATAAAATCAAGGGGAAATATTTATTGTCTTTTCTTTTACTCTAGTTGAATTCATGCTTTTTGATAAAGATCGCATACATTTTCTGAATTATAATGTTTTATTTTTGTAGGACTTTGCTGCTATTTGAACACAGTGACATTGTTGTCATCTCACTACTCACTATTTTGTTCACTAGTTCTGGAGGAGGACCAGCAAAGGTAGAATTTTCCATTATTAGCTTCTTAAAAATTGAAAGTATACATGTGAAATGTTCTCCAAAACAATAAAATAGTATCTTTTACCATTTGAAAGAATGCACAGGCTTTTTCTACTAATTTTAAATTTTGCTTACAAACTTTTTGGAATTTACTTTTTATTTTGACATCATTATATATTCTTAGAAAATTGCAAAAACAGTAGAGAGGTCCTTGTGCCTTTCACGCAGTTTCAGTAGTAACTTCTTTTTTTTTTTTAATTGTATTGAGGAACAGCCATGGTCATTGGTTACACATTGCTTTCATGCTACAATGGTATAGTTGACTCTTTTAGNAAAAGAAGAGTTCCCAAAATGTTGCAATGGGAGCCTTATTAAAATAAGTATTATTCTCCAGTATAATTTCTTTAGAGGTTAACATACCTTTCAAGTTCTAGTATTTTTGTTTCAAGTAAGTGTTCTTACTTACAACCATACCTTGTATATTATATATAAGATTGATTAATATAGTATTGTTTCAATATTCACAGGACTGCATTTTTTATGGTTTTGTTTCAAAAGCCATTTTCTTCTGGGAAAAGTATTACCAAACACCAGGTGAGTTTTTTGCAGATCCTTTTTTACCTGGCAGCTTCCCATTTAGTATGCTAGGAGACAATGCTGTTTCTTTGATCAGAGTTACTTAATGGATGGTTTACGTGCAAAGCAGAACTTTTCCAGAGTTATCTTATCTATTCAGAATTGGGGCTTCAAAAGCGAACTATAAAGTGCTAAGATAATGGAATGTTTAAAAATGCAGAAAAGGGTAGAAAAAGCATGTATGCGATTATTTTCTCTAACACAAGACTCTTATCCTGAAAGATTTACAAATCAGACATGGAGACTGCCCAAGCACCTAGTACAAATGTCACTGGGAGGCAGATAAAGCATAAAGGGTTAAGAACGAGGCCTTTGGAGTCAGACAAGTTCATGTTTTGTCTGTCCTACTTACTATAATCTTATTTTGAGCAAGTTACTTAATTTCTCTACCTTAATTTTCATACCTGTGAAATGGAGATAAAAATACCTTCCTAACAAAACTGTGAGGAATAAATGAATCAATACATGTAAAGTTCTTAAAATGGTGCCTGGCATATAGGGAGTATGCTATACATATTAGCTGTCTCCCTCATCATCATGATCAGTATTACCTCTAGGCATCTGAGGTTCAAGATGCATACCAGAAATGTTCTGCTTTCTGCATAATCATCTCACATTATCTATCACCTGTTTGGGACAGTAGTCATACCCTACTACATGTTTGCTTTATGCCACAATTCAGAAACCTGTGCCATGATTTTTTATTAGAATGACAAATTTAAGTACCTCTGTTTTAGAGACCAAGAACATTTTTTTAAAATGGAATTAATATTTTAAACTGCATCTTAACTTTTTTCTCTCTTTTCAAATAATTGAAGCACTGAATATTCTTGATGGAAGAGTTTAAAGACTAAAATATTAAGTATTCTAGCAAACTAGTGAGAAACTAATTAAAAAGAAACAGAAAATTGTACTTTATAGAAAAAGATTTCAAAATCTAACAGACAAGAATATAGAATGTGGAAAACAATAGTCTTGCAAATTCAAATTTAGTCAGGGGATCTTAACATTTATACTTATTTCAAAATATGTAATAATTAAGCCTTTAAAATATTTGTGTTAGCATTATTATTTCTTCCTATGTATATTATTTAAGATTTTCAAATATTTAGCAAAATGTATATGACTGAAATTTTTAATATTTTGTTTCCATTTATAGTGGATCAAAATATTTAAACATGCAGTTGCTGGGTGTATCATTTCACTCTTGTGGTTTTTTGGCCTTACTCTTTGTGGACCACTAAGGTAAATAAAAATGCATATTTTGAATGTTTGTTTATATTTCTTCATTTTGAATACTAGTATTGTTCCATTAATTTTATGTCAGATATTGGTGTTAAGTTATGTACAAATGCTTCTATGATTTCTATAGCATTGGGTACAACTCAGCAAATATATATAAATATATTGGATACCTGTTTAGTTTGTGGACTAGTTATTTGGTGAATACCATTAACATATTATTCTTGATCTGTAATAGATATTGTATTAGAGTCCAAACAGTTTCAGAAAATTTTTAGCGTAAGTGGCTTTTTTTAATCATTCATTGGCGATCCCTTTTAGCAGCTGATTTTAGAAACTAAGAGGTCTGAAGTGATAAAATCAACCAATATGGAAGAGAAGAAAATCTTTAAAAACACTTTCTTTATTAACACAACTCTGAAAGTACTGCAGTACCCACAGAAAATTCTTGAAAGATATGGTTATAAACAAATGTCTTGGGAATAGTGTGTCAATCGTCAGATTAAAGATGAATTAACTCTTTTCATGTTCCCCTAGATCTATGTAATCTTTATGTAAATGGACCAGTTCAGTGAGGGAAATGTTTACTGGCCACTTAATTTAATAGGAATTGTAACATATGCCACTGCATAAGCATTCTTTTAATAGTTCTCCATCTCTAAAGGGTTTGTTTTTTTTGTTTTTTTGTTAAAGATTTTATTGGGG